TCGACATCTGAGACTCACCTTCGCAGACATGCCAACAAGCCCGTTATCTACCTCCACCTGCCTCAACCACCCACTATCGACCCCCCCACGACACTCACATCAGCAACCTCTCCAGACACCTCCTCCACCAACGCCCTCAACCACCCCCATCGCGCAACCCGTCCGCGCACGCCCAGTTTTGCTGGCAACCTACCGCAGATATACCACTCCTATACGTCGATCCATGTCCTCCAGCAGCTCTGAAGATCCCTCCAACGTCTCACCGCTCAAGAAACCATGCCCTCACCGATCTCCTCTTTCACCCCCGAATGGCTCACACCTTCCTGCTCTAAATTATATAGACCCCCACGTGGGTCACAACAGGTATGCTTTGGAATTGCACTTTCCTCCTCTAATCTTTACACCCGCGGCCCGCGTGGCTCCCCAAAGCTATGCTATCTATTTACATTTAACCCCCGCGTGGCTCAGAAAAGGTATGCTACCTTGGCTGTGGAATAGATTCCGGTGTTCGATAGAAGCTTGTGGGCGAGTGTCGGGTCGGTCACCAGGATCGGTCACCAATGTGGTTGGATCGGTCGCCCCGGATCGGTGACCAGGAAGTCCGGATCGGTGACCGGACCTGACGGATCGGTGACTGGCAATCACGGATCGGTCGCTCGGTCGCCAGGATCGGTCACCAGAGAGGTCTAGGGAAGGCAAGGAGAACAACCCAAGCCAACCATACCGGATCGGTCGCCAGGATCGGTCACCACAAAGGTCTAGGGAAGGCAAGGAAAACAACCCAAGCCAACCATACCGGATCGGCCGGTCACCAGAGAGGTCTAGGGAAGGCAAAGAAAAGAAGCCAAATCAACCATGCCGGATCATACAACGTCACAATCCCTGAGTCCAGACTTTTTCTCTGAAATATCCTAAACTCAAGAAATGGGTTGTTGAAAAGCTGCTTGACGTCACAAAACACGTCAAAAGGCGAAACGCCTTGAACTCGCAGTCGGTAAATTACGTACATGTATATATAATATATAGACGCATTCGCATGGTTACCAGACCACACCATGATGACAAAGTACTACTTCTTCGGGGTCCACATCAGGATTCACCCAGGTTCTCTTCGTCTGGTGACAACCCGGCAGTTCGCCACCGCCTCATTGCTCTGTTTTTCTTGTTTGAATTCACTGCGCTCACCTGTGGACCGCCGCTTTGGGCGGGTTATATCAACATCGAAAAATATACTTCGCCCAATAGGATATGTTTGTGGTTGAAGCCATCTGTGCTCGAGGGCGCATCGCGTAATGCGTGCTATCTTTGTGGTACAGGAATGTAGAACTGCTTTCTCAATTACCCTGAGAGCAACGCGTGAAAGTCTGCCCATGGACATAGTAGAGCGCAAACTTGACCAAAAGGTTCGTGGCGTGACACCGAAGACCGACGCAAATGATTGCCTTTCCTCTGCTTCCTTTCACACATCCGACAAGGTGACGCCAGTAGTAGTAGTAGTAGTAGGAGTAGTAGTAGTAGCAGTAGTAGTAGTAGTGGTAGTAGTAGTAGTAGTAGTGGTGGTAGTAGTAGTAGTAGGAGGAGTAATAGTAGTGGTAGTGGTAGTGGTCGTCGTAGTGGTAGTGGTAGTGGTAGTGGTAGTGGTAGTGGTAGTGGTAGTGGTAGTGGTCGTGGTAGTGGTCGTGGTCGTGGTCGTGGTCGTGGTCGTGGTCGTGGTCGTGGT